TTTTTTTTTTTTTTTTTTTTTTTTTTTTTTTTTTTTTTTTTAATTTGACCAGAGAGAGAGAGAGAGAGAGAGAGAAGGAAGGTGAGAAACCAAGCCACCAGGTCCGAGACTCAAACCATGGTCAGCCATGTGGGAGTCCAGGGCCCCAACCACCACGACACCTGCCAGCCCCAGCATGGTTTTTATCCTTTGGTGAAATTATGATATGATGACATAATTAGTTGAAAAGTAAGAGAGGGCAGAAATAAGTTTTTCCTTTGGATTCTCTCTCCATGTCTAATTGAAATGTGCTGGGGCACAGTTGCAAACTTAGCAGCTCCCTCTTCCGTGGACACTTAAGATAGGTGCCCAAACCTTGTCTCTGTCATGTGAGGATCAGTTTATACAACTCAGTAGTAAGATGTGATTATGCAGGAGATCAATTATTTTAGATTCAGATCCCAGTTTTTTTCACTGACAGAGTGTGTATACACTTACCAGAGAGACAGGAGGAACATATGGAACGAGAAAGTGCCCTGTCCCCCACAGTGGGGCATGACCATGCTGCAGTCCCTTCTCTGTTTCTCCGTTCTGTCGGGATGTAGGGCATGCCCAGCATGTTTTCCAAGCTGTGAGGGTCAATCTACATGGGATCTAGCTCTGTTAACCACTAGGCTGTGGGACTGGCCCTTAACATACTTTTTGAGTAGACTTCTAGTTAGCTATTAAATAGAGAACAGAGAAGTTAGTCAACTTAGGGTAATTGATCTGGCTATTAAAAGCTACCTACTGGGGCCAGCAGGCAGAATTGTGGTTGAGGCACTGGACTCCCATATGACTGACTATGGATTGAGTCCCAGACCTGGTGGCCTGAAAGCCACACTAGGCATATGTGCACGTGTGTCCTAGATCCCAGAAAGAGAAAGGAGGGGAAGGGACTGCAATGTGGCCATTCCCCCAGGGGCTGATTTCTTACTTTCCCTCTCATGGTCTCTCTCTGGCAAACACAGACATTCTATGGCAAAAGCTTTTTTTAAACAAACAAAAAACCTACTACCAAGATTTTTTTGTTGTTGTTTGTTTGTTTTTGTCTTTGTTTTTAACTACTAAAGGTCACATGCACTGGCTGTGAAGGAAAGTGAGAAAGCACCCTGCTCCCAGAGGGGATGGTCATTCTGTGATCCCTTTTCCTTCATTCTGTTGGGATTCTGGACACATGTGCACAGGTGCCCGTTGTGTTTTTCAGGCTACCCAATCTCGGACTTGAAAAGCACAGTGGGTCATGTGGCCATTCCAGCCACTGTAACTGCTATGCCACCTCGCTGACCTAAGATTAATTTTTTTGTAGGTTTTTGTTTTGTTTTGTTTTCAGGTTTTCTCCACCCCCCTCCCCCGACTGATTTTTAAATACTTATTACTCTATAGTCACCTACATCATTTCTTCTTCTTTTTTTTCTTTTTTTTTTTTTGGAGAGGTTTTTGCTATAGGGCGCGTGCGCTCACCAGACAGACAGAGAGACAGAGAGACAGAAAGCGAGAAATCACCCCCCAGGGGGATGGCCACGCCGCAATCCCTTCTCCTCCATTCTCCTCTCAGGATCTTGGGCACGCACGCACACGCTCCCAGCGTGAGTTTAAGCCACTGGGTCCGGAACGCAAACCATGGTCGACTACGTGGGAGTCCAGCGACACAGCCATTACACTAACTGCTGGTCCCTCACCTACATCATTTCTTGACACCTTTTTTTTTTTCTGTGTTTATGAGAACATCTAAGAAGAGATTGCCTAGCAAACTTACTTGTATCATGATCCAACATCTTTTCTAATAGAATTTAAAAAGGTGCTCTGTGGGCCAGCTACCAGCACAGCAGTCAGTACATGATGCTCTGGTGTGGACCCACGTGGGAAGGCCACCACACACTGAGGGCGAGTGCACGGGTGCCTTTGATCCGGGATCGCATCAGCAAGATCCTGTTGTGGGCTTGTCCCTCACTGCGTCATTAATTACCCTGTGGGACCAGTAGAAGGAACAAGATCTGTGTCACTGGGTGCATTCGGTTCATCATGTGTTTCCTCATGCCTCGTTACCTTTTGGCAGGTAATGTGTCTGGTCAGAGTGCAACTTCAGTCTTGCACCCCCAGCAGACCCTCCACCCTCCTGGCAGCATCCCAGAGACCGGGCAGAACCAGCTGTTACAGCCCCTTAAGCCATCTCCCTCTAGTGACAACCTCTATTCAGCCTTTACCAGTGATGGTGCCATTTCAGTACCAAGCCTTTCTGCTCCAGGTCAAGGTAAGAGATCAAAGCAGCCATCATTTTGTAGAAACATTGAAATGGAGATGCTGTCATATCTGGGCCAGAAGCCTGATGAGTAACCTTTAAATGGTTGGGAGGCCAGCTGACCAGAATACAACTAGTCCACGATGGGGCACTTACAGATCTTTGAGCTAAAGAGGGAAGGAATTCTGTACGGTGTAGCAGTTTCTGAAAGCTCATGCGTTACCCTAGCCAATGTAAACTTGTTAAATTTCTAAGTGTGGGAGCAACATACATACTCAGATTCAGGGTTTTTTAAATCCATAGTTTTCTTTCCAAATACAGTGTTTTTAATGATTGCATAGAACATTCCTTCTAATTGAAAGTTGGGTATCTGGATGGAAAAAGAAAGAGATAATCAGGTGCCTCTACCACTAATCTCATAGCAATTAGAGATTAGATGGTCTGTTAACAAGATGGGTATACCTGGCTGGGGAGGAAGGCGAACTAGCCGGACTTCCTTCCGCTGAGAGGCGCTAAACCTTCAGCTGAGAGCGACTTCAGCATTTTGCAGATGGAAGGGACTGAGGCCTGGTATCTCCTGTCTCACCTATCTGACCTTCCCCCAGGAGCTCGTTCTTCTGTGTGTCCTATTAGTGCATTTCACCACTCCAGCCTCGAGTTTCTAACATCTCGTAGTTGTGTTCTGTCTCTTCTCCTCTCTCTGTTCTTCCGTTTTTTCCCTCTCACAGGCTGTGCGAAGTTTAACTGTGCATCTGAGCAGGTGACATTCAAACCTGGTGGCAGGAGGACCCGATTTCTGAGTACGCCCTGCTTGGCTCTTTGTGTGTAACACCTTTACTCCTTCCTCGTCCTTGTTCTTCTGCTGCTTGGATCTGGCGTGTCACGCAGTCCATTTTCATTTGTTTCTTCGTGTGTCATTTGTTCATTGGTTTGGCTGAGCTATTGCCCTCAGAAGTTTGGGTCCTTAGGTTAGGGTGAAAGATATAAAACTAGGTCTCTATAAATGTCACAATCACTTTTGGTAGAATGACTTCTTTAGACCCATGACAGGACAGGTATGACTTCAAGGCCGCAGGCTGCTGGCTCATTTGATGGATTGTTGGAAAAGCCATGATGTATTTTTCTATGCACAACTGCAGTGTTGACTTCTCCAGCGACCCAACATAATAGTGAAGACCAGACTCTGCAGTCATAGCACTTCATGCTGTGTTTCTGCCCTGGTATTAGAAGTGACAGAAAGCAACGTAACCCCGATGCACTTAGACCATGGCAGCAGATACAAGTGACAGCAATATTTTTCACGTTGTTTCTTAGTATAGATTAAAATCCTTTTTTCCTCTCAATTAATCCTAAGCTTCTACCAGTGGAAAAGATGCTAAAACCACTTAATTGGATCCTTCCACAACCTTTGCCCTCTAAACTCAAAGTCAGTGTTGCTATTCTGATGACACATCCTCTCTGTTCAGAGACCACTGCCCTGCACCTGTGAGTGGGAAGTACCTCTGTAACCTAGCTGGGGTTTCCCAGCTTTTTACTTAAGAACGAGTCGCCGGCTTTCCCACGGTGAAACGAACACGATGCCGTCTCTGAGCACTGTCGTAAGATCAGACGTGGCCACGCACCAGAATGTGAGCACTTGGGAAGCACTCATGGTTTCCCTCCAGTCAGCCAGCTTTTACATAGCAGTTAGCTCGTAAACATATATTGAAATAAAGTTTTAAAAAACACAAAGGTTCTCAGGTAGAGAACCTTTGTTAGAATCTCGGTCAAGATCCTTGTTAAGGCCTCAAACTTCTGATGTGGTCGTTGAAGTGCTTTTTAAATGCATGTGCTAAGGCCATCACTGTTTTGAGTATGGTTAAGAGGTCCTTGGGCCTCTGCATAGTGGAAAGAATTGACACCCCTATTTGATCTTGGAACGGCAGGAATTTTTTAGCGGTACAACAGATCTACCTTTATGTAGTACATGTAGCTTCTGCTTCCCTCACTCACACACCTGTAATCCCCCCATTGATAGTACCCCTGCTGTCTTCCCCTGAATTAGTTAATGGATTGGCTCCCTTCGAGGCCATCTTTGACTGTCTCCCCCACATGTTACCAGTCCAGGGCTATTTAAGAAAGAAGGGGGCGTAAGGCAATACCCAATTTGGTAATTTTACAAACGTGTAATTTTTGATCACTCTGATCAGTAATTTTGCTTACTAGCGGTTTGACCCTCGAGTAAGCATTTACTTTGCCTGTCCCACCAGAAAGATGAAGGGACAGTAATGGCAGGAGACTGGGTGTTCTGAAGTAGAACATGTGACATGTCAGGCCTATGATACATACTGGGTGTTGGAGTGGCTGCGTTCTGTGACGTGTAATGTGGCAAGTGCCACTTCAGTTAATTCCATACACTGTCATCATCCTCTTAAAGGTAGGTGGTATTATCACACCCTGCTGCTCAGGTGAGGAATACTGGTGCTTAGCAGGGTAAATCTGACCACTCCCCCTTGGGTCTAAAACGAGAGCCCCTGCATCTGCTGAAGGCACACTGGGTACATCATGTAAGCCTTGTGAACAAATTCCAAGAGACAGTCTTAAAGACGTACGGAAAGTAAACAGGTACTTCCGGGGGTGGGGGGTGCTGACCATTGTATTTCAGGACACGTTCTGTGCTCTTAAAATAATTGCTTGGAAGCACGGCTTGACTTAATGCTCTATCGAAGTTCAGAGACTGCTTGTTTTCCACCTACTTTTAAAGATTTTTCTAGACGGGGAGGGGTTATTATATATATCTAAGATGTAGAAATGTAATATCAGTTAAATTAACTTCAAATTTTGACAGTGGTACCAGCCTACTGTGGTAGGATTGCTAATACATTTAATTTGCTTAACAGCCCAGCAGGAGAGACAGGAAGTGGGGCAGGGTCAGTAGGAACACTGCTTGGATCGTTAATGTTCAAGCAGCGTCTGTGATTCTGGAGCTCTTTCCCGTCCCAGCACCCTAACGTGGGGCTTCACTCTGTCAGATACAAAGACCGAGTGTGGAAACTCAGCTTCTGGTAGCCGGTGGCAGTCTACTGCGTGACCATGTCAAGGCCCACGGCCGGCTGGAGCTGCATCTAAGCCCAAGCCACCAGGTCCTGCCCATCTGTCTCCCCTCCTGCTCTCTCTTGCTGGGCCTTTGTGTGCCATTTGGAGATTCTAAGTATTTTACACTGATGTTTATCTCTAACACATTGCTCTCTCTTTATGCTTCAGGGAAGATGGTGAAAAAAGTCTGTCCTTGCAACCAGCTCTGTAGTAATTATCTTTTCTTTCTGTTACTTTTGGTCCTTGATTGTAAAGCCTGTTTATCCATGAGTTCTTTAAACTCTGAAGTCTCACAACTCCCTGATCCCTAACTTCCTTCTGTCTCGGCACTCTGTTAAGCATGTTCTTTAACATGCTGTTGCTAGCTCCTCGCTGTTCTTGCAGACTGAGAATCACCTCGTAGTCAGTGCTCTCAGTGCCGGCCCGTGGGAGCTGAGCTCGGTGATCGTCCTGGGGTGGTCATGTCCGGGGTGGGTGTGTGTAGGGA